TAATACATAACAAAAAAAAATAAAAAAATAATAAATATGAGAATTATATATGTATATATAGTATATATTAAATAAAATAATTGTAATCATGATAAATTCTGTCAAAATACAAAATTAGTATTAGATCTGTCTACGAGATAAAAACAACAGCAAAATCTTCAAAAATCGAGCATTACAAGAAAATGACATTCATCGTCGTTAATTAGAGATTCGTTTAATGAATCGTTTAATCTCAATCGATTAAATTTCATCGGGAGCACAGGAAATCATATAAAAATTGCGCAACAAAGATCGAACGAGCAAATGAATGAATGAACGAATGAATGAATGAACGAATGAGTGAATGAAAGCAGTCCTTTACACGCATTAATAAACCGATAGGCCGATGGAAAGGGTGAAGAGCAGCGGGTGGGAGCAGGGAAGGGTACACGCGGAGAGAATGGATTTTCTCACGCACATACACACACACAAAATTGAATAGGATTCCGACATGTCTTTTGCGGCACTGCCCGTTTTTCCCACAATCTTAAACGCGCTAATAAAACATTCTCGTCGCACCTTTCAGCCACTCGCACACCTGATCCGTCTTCCACTCGGCTACATTGACATACGCCATGAGAGAGAAAAAGAAAGAGAGAGATCCGATTGTATATCCCGAGATAAGGTTACGATAAGTCCGCGGTCGTTCTGCCAATTTTCTCTCGCCGTTGATATGTAATTCGATTCTATAATGATAGGCACACGACCACACGAGCCCGCGTGTCAATACGACGCGCGCGCAATACACACTGACAGATACGCGCAGTGTAGAGAAACCGTGGGACAAAACTGCGCACTGCGCCCTGCGCACATGCGCCAAACGTCAGGCCATAGACATAGTATATCTAGACCGAGCGTTTGCCTTTGTTTAAAGAGTGGGGATAAAGATACCCGTAGAAAAGGATATACTCTGTTTCGTGCCCCTTGCGTTCTCTCTCGCTCGCATGTAGCATAGCGTACTCTTTCGCTATGCTACATGCCCTTTTCTACGTGCACTTTGGCCCTCACTCCTCAACACTCGGTCTAGATATACTATGTCTATGCGTCAGGCCTTCAGTAACGTATATATTTTATTTATAATAAGAATATCGATTCTATAATTCAAGTGAAGGTGAAAATTACAAAAATAAGCGAATTTACTAGGCTTGGACCAATAAAATTATAAATTTTCTCATTTTTGTAATTTTTATTTTGACTTGAATTAGAGAATCGATATCAAGGGCACCATTAGTGCCGGTCTACAATAGGTGATTTAAGATTTAGCCTTTGTTGCCGGTCTACAATAAGTGATTTAAGCCTTAAGCCTTAAGAAATTGACTAATCACAGGCTTTAGGGAGAGGTCATTTGGACACAGTGCGATTGGACATAACCACTCATATCGACCTGTCTAGGGTAACTAGCACGATTGACCAATGAAAGAGCTTCATTTTTAACTGGCTAAAAACTATTGGGTCCAATTAATATACACCCGCCAATAATCATAATGCATGAATACCTAGATGCGATATATCCGATTTGAAAATGTCTAAACTTGAAGTGAAGGCGTTTCTGACGTTTTGTATAGTCGGATATACCAAATTCGCATTGGGCGCATTCAGCGGACTCAACAGTTGGGTAGCAATCGAACGTGATTGGTTCTTACTTTTAGAACCAACAAATCAACGTCGAGTGTTGACAAGACGATGCTCAACTGTTCATTTTAAAGAGAGAGACAACGTTTCACATGAGAGTTATCTCTTTCTGTCGCGATATGTTTCGATTGCTAGAACTCTTTCAGTATATATAGGAGAGTTCGGTGTGGTTGGTCCTTTACAACTTGGTAACTATCTTTATCTCTTTTCCAAAGATGTATCTCGGACAATAGTTGTCTTTATTGGTGAGCGTGACTGAGCTGTAAAAGCAAGACTTGTGAGTTTGCGACACGGCTTTTCGCGTGTGAATCAAAGTCGCGTAAATTTTGCGGATGGAAATATAGAGCATGCATATATCTAGCGCGAGAATCGCATTCCCGAAATTCTCTGTTTAGCAGCAGGATATTTTTCTAATTACAAAAAAAAACAGTGCGATTACTTTGCAGTGTTTCGAACAGGATACATAAAGAGACTCTACGTTTGACGTATGAAAAGATGGTGACCGATTGATATAGCAAGGTTTAATGATAACGCAAATCCCGAGTGTTTCCATTAATTTTCGCCGCGATAAGATCGTTAATCAAGCGAGGGATGGACGACGGCGGATCGTCGTTGGGGATATCGTGAATAGCCGGAGACATCGATTTCGGTTCGTATATCGGTTAGCTTAGGTAGTTACGAGCTATTTGTTCCTTTAGTCGGGATTCTTTCTGCGCAAAGAGTTTGCGAGAGTTCGTAAAGTGCGATAACATTTCGACGACGATCGTAAGATTAAACGTCGACGATCATGTAATTTCTCGATCGCTTTCGTAGATATATTTTTCGATCAAAAAAATTAATAGCACAGCTTTGCAATATCCGATATGTCAAATTGTATATAAGTTTAGGAATGCGTTCTGATAAGTTGTTTAAAAATATTCTTGGTCGTAATGCACTTAGATTTGTTAGAACAACTCAATTTGGACAAATATATTATATAATCGTGCTGAGATTACATCGTTTTTTAAAATAAGAAATATTTACAATTTTTTGTTTTCCTTAAACGATAGCAACAATTGTAATTATTTATGTTATTAATACATATGGATCTCACATTTGGTTGATGCAAATAATCTTAAAGAGAAAGAAAAAGACAAAGAAAATGATCTTAAAGAGATGGTTAATCTATAATTTTTTATTTATTAAACTTGTACTTGTTGCAGGTATTACAAAGGAGTAATTTGATAGAAGAATTATGAATTCTTTAAAGATATTATTTTGAATTATAATTAACTTTGTACAATGTCCCATTGCGAGGAAGAAGCAGTATCGCCTGGTTTTCACCAATTAAGTATAACAAGTAAGTAACCTGAAGTTTTGGATGCGATAAGCGGTATATAAGACGTGCATCATCTCTCAATATTCATAAACAAATTCTCGTTAAAAGATAAATACTACTCTGTACAAAAATTCCTGAAAACTTATATAGCAAATTTTGTGGTATTATTATAAACTTATATTATTTCTTGTCTTTTAAATACTCTTACATATATCATGCTATATTTTTGATTAAAAATCTTCTTATCTATTTAGATATACATACGTATACATTTGCAAGTCTTTACAACATTGATGTTGATCAGTTTATTAATTGTTGAATTATCAAAATAGAGAATCATTTATTTCATTATTCAGTTATGGTAATAATGTGTAATGGATTAATAAATAATAAATAATGGTCTATCTTTCCTTTTATTACATAGTATTTTATTATATATAATATTTAAATATAATTTTATTATATGTTGTTTTTTTTACAAATTTTTTTGTACTTTCGTGATCTTGTTCTGGAATTATTTTAAATTATTTTTTTATAACTATGGATAATGATACAAGATAACCTGAATTGCATAAGTTGAGTGCTTATCTATGTTAATAATGATATGTAATTTTATTTTAGTTGAAGCAGCAATATTAAGAAGTTCGACTTTCTTAAAGCCTAATCCATATATAGAGTTTTCAGTCGATGATAAAAGTCCTCGTAAAACAGAAGTATCAAAGTCTACGTATCAGCCAAAATGGAACGAAGAATTTACTATACTTGTCACACCATATTCGCAATTGCACTTTCGACTGCTTGACCATAGTACATTTCGCAAAGATGCATTAATAGGAGAAAAACGGATAAGCCTATTCCAAGTTTTATCACATTATAATGGAAAATTAGAAAATTTAGAATTAACATTTGATTTAATGAGCGAGAGCAAGCATGATTCTCAATTGTGCAAAGTTGGTGAATTGATTACGGTATTTGATGGACTTAGAATTGATACTACTAATGAGGCACCGGTAAATATTAATGAGCCACTTTGCCAAATACAATCGGATGGTAAGAAAAATTTTATTATAATTAATAAAAAAATTTCGTGGAAATCAGATATTAATATTTGTGAGACTGTAAAGCTTTGTTTTAAAAGAGAGATGTTCAAATGGAATGTTAATAATTTTATATCACAAGATTTTCTTTTCTATTTTTTGCTATATATCAGATTGCATTGTTTTAGGTGCCACAAACAATGATACAATGAATAATCGAAGTATTCTCAACGGTGGAGTCCGTGCGCGTATGAGATTGCATAGTTCAGATAGTCTTGCGCCGTCTATGTGTCGTTTGACAAATATCCATCTCAGTCCCAACTACAACAGTGGGAACAGTCAAACAAACAGCAACACAGCAAACATTGGATCTTCTACCACAATAGTTTCGAATGTGGACGGTACGTCGGGTAATAATGTTAGCAGCAGCAGCAGTCTCTCTGCAAACACTTTAATGAACGGGCACGCGATTCCAATAGCGGATAAATCTATGATGTCCCCGGCAAATCGGCATGCCGCAGACATACGAACTTTTGCAGGTAGATTGACTATTAAAGAGCAATCTCCGGCGTCGGCTAATTCGCCGGAAGGCCGAGTGTACAGGCGAGGCAGTTACGGCAATCCGGCGGAGCAGCAATCCGCGATGGCCAAATCGGATCTACGTAGTATGCCGCGATCGGAACAATCCTCTTCGATGATTTCCGGGCAGCAGACGTGCACGGCGGATGTCCGCGGCATTTTGCGACAAGATCAACCGATAGACAGTTCCAGTACTTCTCAGATCGACTTGAACGTGTCCCTACATGCAGACGCACGTGGTAGCGGTGGTGCTCTACGAATAGAACAACCGACTGTTATCCCGACTTCACCAGATGGTCGGGTAATGACACGATCGGAACACACGTTACGAATCGAACAACCGACAGTTGTTGCGACTCTACCAGATGGTCGTGTAGTGACACGAGCGGAACAATCGACTAGTGGCAACCACCTTGCGGATGATTTACGTGAAACGAGACAACCTACAGAACAGTCTACGAACGTTCGGCGGGTGAGTACAACAAATGAGGATCTACGTGCGATAAGACAACCGGAACAATCCATCGCGAGCAGCATTCGTGTATCTGAAGATATGCGTGGAATAAGACAGCAGACCGAACAATCGGCGAATAATATTCGTTTGAACGAAGATTCGAGAGGAATGAGGCAATCCGAGCAATCCGTTCGTACGGTCGAAGATTTACGCGCGGCAAGGCAACAACCTACAGAACAGTCTACAAGCGTACGCTTGCAGGAGGATTTACGAGTTCCTCGCGCAGAACAGTCGTTAAATGCGGATCTACGTGGTGTTTCACGTGGTGCTGGTCAACAAAACACGAATATTCTGCCAACAGACGGTCACCGCACCGCGTCGTCCGTCTCTCGATCGGAACAATCGGCGATGTTTTCCTTGCCCGACGGACGGACTATTTCTATCGCGGAACACATATCCTCCCCTGCCGCGATATCGGATCCTCGTTCTGGTGCATCGCGAATTCCGCAGACCGCAGTTGCGGTACCGGGTCAATCTATGGCTGCATCCGCGACAGCGCAACCAGGATCTTCGGTACTGCTCGCTGAAGATGTCGGTCATTCCGAAGAACCCTTACCGCCCGGTTGGGAAATGAGATACGATCTGTATGGGAGAAGGTAGATATATATTAAATATCTTTTAAAGCAAAATTTTTATATCTTTATCACGTTTTTCTTTGTTATTATTATTAGATATTACGTCGATCATAATACTCGAAGCACATCTTGGGAGAGACCTCAGCCTTTGCCTCCTGGATGGGAAGTTCGTCGGGATCCAAGAGGTAGAATCTATTACGTCGATCATAATACGAGAAGCACTACATGGCAAAGGCCAAATACAGAGCGATTACAACATTTCCAACATTGGCAAGGTGAAAGACAATATGTCGTTCAACAAGGCAATCAAAGGTTTCTTTATCCTCAGGTAAATATGTGAATTGATTAACTTAAAAAAATAATAAATAAAATTCTTTAAATCTGTCTAAAGGGATGGAAAAAAAGATTTGAGAGTTTCATATAAAATTTGAACTAATTACAATTATTATATTATTATATTATTATAGGCTCATGGAAGTCAAGTTGCTGCGGGTCCGTCAACGTCCGTGGCCGACGATGACGATGCTCTGGGACCATTACCGGCCGGCTGGGAAAGACGAAAGCAACCAGAGGGAAGAGTTTATTATGTAAATCATAAGAACAGAACCACGCAGTGGGAGGATCCTCGAACGCAGGGTCAGGAAACTGGATTGGATGAACCACCGTTGCCGGACGGCTGGGAAATACGATTAACAGAAGATGGGGTCCGTTATTTTGTCGATCACAACACCCGAACGACAACGTTTCAAGATCCAAGACCTGGTGCACCTAAGGGGTTTGTTATTGAAATATATTATGTCAAGTTGACGCGCTATTCAACATTGGAAAGATTAGATCATCATATATTTTGTTCTTCTCTTGTGCAGCCCCAAAGGTGTATATCGTGTTCCACGAGCATACGAGAGATCATTCCGATGGAAATTGTCTCAGTTCCGGTTCTTATGTCAAACTAACGCGCTGCCTAACCATATTAAGATTAGCGTTAGTCGGCAGACATTGTTCGAGGATTCTTATCATCAAATAATGAATGCAGAAGCTTTCGCGCTAAGACGGCGATTATACATAATATTTAAAGGAGAAGAGGGTCTGGACTATGGAGGTGTATCTAGGTATGTGATACATGCAAAAAATTTATACAGTCGACATTTTTTGTATTCTAAAACTTTTGTCTCCTATTCTTTTATATTTTAATATGGCATATGTCTAGAATAAAAATATTGTTCTGTCTTTGCTTTCTTATTTTGATACATAATTACATTAGCAAAGTACTTAGCAAAGTGAGAACAGCACAAATGAAGAATACTAGTTTAAAAGAAAACTGCTAATTTGGAATAAAAGAAAATAGAGAAATACTAGAAAATTTAAAGAAATCGACTGTGTAATGGTTTTTATTGTATGTTAATGTACAAAGAGCCTTCCTCGCAATATTTATTATTTGGTTTTATTGTAAGAAAAATTAAAAGAAAGCATTTGTGTGATTTTCAGAGAATGGTTTTTCTTACTGAGCCACGAAGTTTTGAATCCGATGTACTGCCTATTCGAATATGCCAATAAAAGCAATTATAGTTTGCAAATAAATCCAGCATCATATGTCAATCCTGATCATTTGCAATATTTCAAATTTATTGGCAGGTTTATTGCAATGGTATGATCTCTTATTTCATAGATAATGATCTATATCTCTTTTCAGGTCTTTTTTTAAATCTTTTTTAGATAATGATTTAGTTTTCTTCTATATATACTATTTTATACAAAAATAATTGTATGGAGACATTATCTTATCTTTTCAGGCTCTTTATCATGGCCGATTCATATATAGTGGATTTACAATGCCGTTTTACAAACGCATGTTGAATAAAAAATTAGTCATGAAGGATATAGAATCCATTGATCCAGAATTTTATAAATCTCTTGTATGGATTAAGGAAAATAACATTGACGAGTGCGGCCTAGAATTGTATTATAGTGTGGATTTCGAGATTCTTGGTCAAGTAATACATCATGAGTTAAAGGATGGTGGTGATAAAGTTAGAGTAGGTGAAGACAATAAGGAAGAATATATCAGGTATAACTTCTTTCCAATAATAGACGATTGCAATTGTACATCTGCAAAAAAGCACAATTTTAATCTTGAACATATTTACATCTTTGACAGGTTAATGACAGAATGGAGAATGACAAGGGGCATAGAGGAACAAACAAAAGCATTTTTGGAAGGCTTCAATTCAGTTGTACCTCTCGAATGGCTGAAATATTTCGATGAACGCGAACTAGAACTTATGCTTTGTGGGATGCAGGAAATAGATGTCGAAGACTGGCAACGCAATACTATTTATAGACATTACACTCGTAATAGTAAACAGATTCTGTGGTTTTGGCAGGTTTGTTAAATATTCTTGTCTTATTCTAAATGCGAATTGGGTAGAAAAAAAAATTTATTTATAATTCAATATAATTACAGTGAGAAACCTTAATGCAAAGATATAAAATGTTTTGTAGTTATTATTATTATTAATTATTACTCAATATTATATTTAAATATTTGCTATTTGTTTTTCAGTTTGTAACAAGAACAGATAGTGAAAAAAGGGCTAGACTATTGCAGTTTGTAACTGGTACTTGCCGTGTACCTGTTGGTGGATTTGCCGAATTAATGGGTAAGAGATAGTTACTTTTTTCTTATGAAAATATAGAAATAGATCGACAATATTCGCTTATTAAATGAAATTATATTTAGCAATTAAAATAGTAGTTGAATCTTTTATATAAATAATTGTATTTTATTATGTTGTATTACAGGAAGCAATGGTCCGCAAAGATTTTGTATTGAAAAATTTGGAAAGGATACCTGGTTGCCAAGATCACATACTTGTTTCAATAGATTAGACTTGCCACCCTACAAAAGTTATGACCAATTGGTGGAGAAATTAAACTATGCGATTGAAGAAACAGAAGGTTTTGGCCAAGAATAATTGTAATAATGCTAATTAATGGTATATAGTAGGTATGCTACATATTATGTATAGTGGATGATATACGAACAAAATTTAGAATAGCACTACAAATCAATGGTAAAATGGAGTTTATGCTACATCTGAAATTTGTTGGGGATAACTATTATATATTAACAGAGTAAAAGTTGCAAATAATTAAAGATGTTTATAAGTACGTTGCTTGAAAGATTTGTATGAGGCATCGTAATAACTTTATGCAAAGATAACATAATAATCTAAATTAATATCAATATATTCGAACCTATTTCATATCTTATTGACATTTTCTACTTGTAATACATAAAAATGGTATAAAACGTTAATAAGACATGAAATTTAATAAAGTTCATAATACATACATGTATATGTATATATGTATGTGCATATGTATGTATATATAAATATAATAGAGAAAATTAGATGATAATATGTATGTACAATTTGTTTCTCTTTGTAACATATGCACGCATCAACCAAAACAAATTATTTCAATGTTTTAAAAAATTGATTTATCTTTATTTAAAGAAAGATAATATGTATAATAGAATATTGTAACCCAGTTTATATACAATGCAACTTACCAATTTGTGTTTGTTACAATTTACAAGTCATAATTCTATACAAAAACAATTGAAATTTATGTATTATATATTATTATAATATCTTACTATATTTTAATATATTTTAAAGCCTAAATATAGATTTAAAAAATTCTTTCTCTTTCATAATATATACTGTACATATTAAATTTATTAATAATTATGATACATGCACACACATAACGTGTTATAGATGATCAACAATTTTACCCTGGGAAGAGTAAAATTCCACAGGTAAATTGTGGCAATAATTATCTTTTCTATATAGCAGATATTAAAATTATATCTGTATTTAGACAGATAATAGATATCTGCTACATATAAATAGCCAACCAAAATAAGAAAGCCAATTATTTTTATCATTTAGTATTTGTCGTATATACTCCATGTTAGTGTTATCATTTATGAGACCTATTGATTGGCATATTGCATGTTGCCTTTGAAATGTGTGTGTAACACATGTGTGAAGTTACCCTGAAAAAAATATGTCAAATATTTTTTAATGTATTTTACAACACAACGAAAATATTAAGACTCCTGGGATTGTGATCTTAAACTTATGTATTTGTTTATTAATAATTTGTATACACACACAACATATCTATGCAGTGTACACATAATTATTTGTGTTTGCGATTGTGTAAAGATGTGTATAATGCATTAGAAATTTATTTAAATATATACGAAATATCTGGTTTATGAAGATTGATATAAGATTTATTTATGCATTATCGGACTATTGAAATAGAAATAGAAAAGTGGTATATGCCACTTGTCATATTATTTACGCTTAGACATTTTTTTCTGAAAGCAAAAAACATGTAAATTGGATTGAAAATGTTTTGCATAAGATCTATTCTTGCAATGTGCTTAATATGTTGCTATCATAGTTTAATACCATTATATTCTTTTATATTGTCTTGTAATTTTTTATTGCATGCATTTTATTTTATAATATTTTTAATATTTTATTTGTTTTTAACATATAGAAGAAGAAAATGAAAAAGCAATGTCATTTCATAAATTTAGAATTAGAAAAACTACTTTATTTTGGAAGCCCTATATGCATATAAAATTACAAAACAATTACAAAATTAAAATTATATAAATCAAATCATTTGTGTACATTGTTGTCTCTCTTTATACAAAGAGTAAAAATTTTAATATTTGAATATTTATTTCAAAAAATTTATTTTAAAAAAACGTTCAAAATCAGTATAGCTTTAAATGTGTGCAGATACACTTGTGCTGCACGTGGTATGTGGGTATTATGATTATCCAATTATATATATACCTAATAATAGATAATAAATAAATAATATGTAATAATTGAGGTTGTCATACAATGTAAAGACAAGTCAAATTTTTAGCAGTGATAATATCGCTCATCATTTCCGACGACTTTTTTTTTCCAAGTGAGAGAGAATTTGATTGTGTAAACTTGAAAAAAATATTTCTTTACATAAATTATAAATTTTATTAAACATGTATATGTATATAATATATATGTACAGAATATTAATCCATGAAATAAAGAAATTTACAATTAGAAATAAAAATTAAATACTACCTTTGATTTTAATAATTTATTGAATATAGATTACAAAGGAGAGGCATATTTCAGCTATTAGGAAAGGGAGACTATTATTTTCTATTTACTTCATTTTCTACTATAATTTGGGGTTGGGACCAAAAAACTTTTCCCATGGAAAGCGATTTAAAGTCGTATCATGGCCGTCTATGTTATCATTTATGGAAGGTGCCCACTTTCGCGTGAAATCTTTAAGTTCGCCTGTAATTTTTTTGCAAAATTTCTCTTTGTATTAATTACATTATGGCAATTAGTTGAATTTAAATATTATCCAGATATATATTAAATATTTTATTCAGTTTATATATATATATATATATTTTAATTTAGTATTTTTTCTTTTTTTAATACTTACTTTCATCCATATTAAACAAATCCTCGGACTTTGTTTCGACACCATTTTTATCTTTTTTTGTAGTGACGATATATTTTTTGTCACCTATTTCTCTTGACACTATCGTCTCCTCATTACCTTCATTGTCTCTAATTACTTGCTTTTGTTCTATAGTTCCATCAGATCTACGAATAATCTCTTTTCTAACAGACCGTCCAATTGAAAAACTACGTGGTACAAAAGGTTTTACTGTTTCTACATTCCCTTTGTTCCACATTCTCGAAAATTCTTCTGCAGTAATCCTATATAATAATGAGTAATATTACATTAAACATCTCAGATAATATAGATAAACGAAAAAATATATATACATATATATATTTGGTGCTTACTTTCCATCTAAATCTGTATCTATTTTCTGTTCAGGTGATATATCTGTGACAGGTGCATCAGGATAAGATTTCAGCACTTTGTCACGTAAATTATCATTTTTTTCAGGTGCAAATGGTAATGCTTTAATAGCTTCATCTCCTGTAAGAATCATTCATTTGGAATAATGTGTTAAGAAGATTTCTATGTTTTTCATAATCATTTAAATAAAACTCTACATACTCCAACTATATGATAGATTTTATGCAAAATGGACGTACCAAAAAATCCATTATTAAATCCAAAAAAGAAATTTTTTAACATATTATCCATCTGGGATTCAAAGTAACGTGTCATTTCAAGTGGCTCGCTAAAGATGCTAAAGTGCATGCCACTTCTAGGATGCCTAGAAAACAATAAAAAATTAAAGATAAATTCTATAGATATTGATAGATAGAAAAATATTTTCTCCTTTACCTAAAATCATCTATGTCGTCATCATCCTCGTCGCTCTGCCAAATTGGATTTCGAAAACTGTCTCTATACGAATCATCATTGCCAAGCCTAAAATGATTAATTGCATCTTAAAATTATACAATCTTGCTGTTCTATTCTCTGATATTGTTAAATATAATATAACAAAATAGATAATGTGACAGAGGAAATGAAGAAGAGAGAGAAAAATGTTATATATTAGATTTCGTAATTTTTTTGCAAAATATATATACTTTTTCTGAACTACATTTATTAGAAATTAATTAAACAAGAATAGAAGTAATTTTGAATTTGGATAAACTGATCAAGTAAAATTCTATTTATCATTGATAGTATTAAGTATCATATGTGTAAATTAATACAAATTTCATACAAATTTATCAAAGAATTTGTGTAATCGATATGGATTATGCAATTTTTAATACATTGTAGTATAAGAAGTAACGAAAGAAACATTTTAATCCCAGGTTTTATACAATCAATATTATGAAATATAAAACTTTTTGACATGTATATAAACATCTAGAATGATCTACGATGCGAAATATATATATATACATATTAATATATATCGCAAAATATATTAAAATCTTACCCGCTTGTGCCAGGCTCGTTGCGACGGTTCGTACCGAGAAAATTTCGAAAAAAGTCGAAGAATGACATTCCTAAAAAAAAAAGCAGAAGGCTATGAACGAAGACCTCTAATCACATCGCATCACGCAATTGACACAAACTACACCTACAACGAAGTTGCATCACGTTCACGCAATGTTGCCAATCATTATAAAAATTTCCCCCCAAAGAGTCAATCAAAATCCCCTCAAAAAACCCTAAAAATATATTTTTGATAATAAAATGTCAATTTAATATTTTTCCTCTGAAAACATCAATGATTTTACTTGTTTGATGATAAATAAGTATTTATTAAATGAAACAAGTATATAGTAATATAAAAATTTTATTTATTACTAATAAAATTTAGAATCACACAGTGAAAAAAATCTTTTTCATTATTAGATAGAAATATCTAATCAATTATTATTTGTTAAATCTTGTGTCCACGATGCTAGGGGGCCTATTACAATTTTTGAAACAAAGTGAAAATTACAAAAGTGAAAAAATACACTAGAGTATTCACAATTTCATTTGTCGAAATCTAGTAAATCTGTTCATTTTTGTAATTTTCACCTCGTTTCAAGAACCGTAAGTAATTGAGGATTAAAGATTGAAATTTGATCAATCAGGACAAAGAAATTTTGGTTCCTTTTGTCCTGATTAGTCAAATTTCAATCTTTAATCTTCAATCTTCAATTTTCAATATGTAGTCTGATACGGGCATAATAGGCCCCCAGTATATGGAATTTAATTTAGTGACAACATACTTTTTTTTCACGCATGCGCGAAAAAAAGAGCACGTCTATCAACACTTCAGTCCAACTCGGTCGGTCACAGTATTTAATAGTGGTAGAAAACGAGTAGTTGGTAGATATTGAGAAATTAGAGCGGCATTTTTTGCTCCTCGAATTGTGTGGTTCATATGTTCGTGTCAACGCCGTTATCATGTAGCAATTAGCAGATATCTCGGTCACATTCATGATAAAATTATATATATATATAATTCAGCAACTTGTCATCAGCCATATCCATATTAGATTCTAACATTCCTGGACATTTCTGATTGGCCATTATTTTGTACGATTGCACATTCACGGGACTGGTACACCTTTATATTTACATCATGGTCGGTCGCATCAAGACATCGCACACGCGCACGTTAGCATGGGGGAAGGGGTGATGGGTGGCTTCGTCAAGAAGTCACCGATTTACACCGTGGTACTTTGTCCCAAAAGAGAACGGAAATCCATAGAGGAAGGAAGGAGGAAATTCGCTGACTGGTAGTCGGTAGATCTCAGATTCGAATTAATTCAAACCTTATCCCCCATATGCCTTTTAAGAGATTAAAAAAAAGAATATATATGTTATAAATCGCCCATTGTACATAAACGGTTACACCGTGATACTTCGTCCCAGAAGAGGACGAAAATCCATAAAGGAAGGAAGCACGGGGGAAAAGGTGTGTCGCGGAGCAAATAGGTCGACTTGCCGCTTCTTGGAAGCGAGAAGGAGGGGAAAAGAGAGAAAGAGAGAGAGAGAGAGGAAGAGAGAAAGAGAGTTAAGGCGGTGCAGCGAGCGAGACGTATCATAGCAATCACAGGCGGTCGTGACACACAAAACGTGATCACGAGGCGACGAGAGGAGCGCCGGTAATTACAGTGATTATCTAATCATGCCCAATTCGCGGGTCACCAGAGACGATTGCGCGAAGAAAGTGACAACGATGACATCGTTAGCGTGATTCCTTCCGCGTGTGTGTATCTTCGAGATGCTACGTGTAACTCCTTCGTCCTGCCATCGACGAGATATTCGAGACCGGATGGTCTTCTCGGATTTAGTGTGACTGGAAAAAAACTCGCTGCGTGCTACTGTAGGTAAGTAAATCTTTGCATTGTCGGTAATATAAAACTGTAATTTGGTACAATAAAATATTCATTTTGTTGTTCTTGAAGCAGTTACATGAAAGATCTATACATTTTCGCGATAATAAAACAATAGCTGGATGAACTAAAATAATTAATGAATGAAATAAATCGTGTAATTATTTTCAATGCAAACGGCCGGTAATGCCATCAATCTTCTATTATCTCCGGGCCCACTTGGTAGTCACGAAAATTTACCTAGGGTCAGCGATCTTTAATAATATCTCGTCGGTGGTTCTGCGTATATCGTAACCGGGTACTATACGTGTGTGGGTGAACGTGATATGCGGCTCGTTTGAAATCGATCGCGAAAAAGCCGCCCGCGTCGACGGGCGAGTGCGTGCACGACACTTGGTCCGCTTCTTGATGGTGGCGGTAGTGGTAATAGTATCGCCAAGTATCGCGCATTCCGGCCGGTTACACCTGGCCTGGCCGAGAAATGCAGTTCTGAATCGGCGATTCTCCCGATTCTCGGTTTGCGCGCGGGGGTGGGTGGTGGATGGCAGGCGGTGGCGGGTTGGATAGGTAGGGGGCTTGTCGTCGAAGATAGAACGTGCGTTCGATTGATACGCTCCGTTGTCACTTTGTCGAGAGACGAGATTGATTGTTTGCGGGTCAGAAAACGGATCGTAAAACGGAGCGACGTCGCGCAGGGAACGCCGGAAGGAGGACGAGACGAAAGCGAGGAAGGAAAGAGGGAAGGTAGTGTAAAATACTTTTCTTTCTTCCTCTATGGATTTCCGTCCTCTTCTGGGACAAAGTATCACGGTGTAACCGTTTATATACAACGGGCGAACATATATACTCTTTTTTTTTTTTTCAACCTCTTACGAGGCATATGGGGGATAAGGTTCGAACGGATTCGAACCTGGGGGATCTGCCGATTATCAGTCAGCGACTTCTGCACGAAGCCACGCATCACCCTCTAGGTGGTGTAAGATATTTCTCGAGCAGCAGAGGAGTACAGTTGTGAGGGAGGAAGAGGGTTAAGAGCCTAACCGAGCGAAGGAAAAATAACATGGTTCCACCAGGACTCTATCCCAGGACCTCCCTCTCAGCTGGCAACCGCTCTGCCACACAGCGCCCCATGCCACTGTATTCCCTTAGCTTGGTTATATATATATATTTTTCTTTGAATTTTACAGGAAGAAGCAGGATAGAGCAAGATGGCGAGCTCCTTAACGTGGTCGTGCTGCCTGCGTTTTAAATTCAGCTCAACCTCTTACGAGGCATATGGGGGATAAGGTTCGAACGGATTCGAACCTGGGGGATCTGCCGATTATCAGTCAGCGACTTCTGCACGAAGCCACGCATCACCCTCTAGGTGGTGTAAGATATTTCTCGAGCAGCAGAGGAGTACAGTTGTGAGGGAGGAAGAGGGTTAAGAGCCTAACCGAGCGAAGGAAAAATAACATGGTTCCACCAGGACTCTATCCCAGGACCTCCCTCTCAGCTGGCAACCGCTCTGCCACACAGCGCCCCATGCCACTGTATTCCCTTAGCTTGGTTATATATATATATTTTTCTTTGAATTTTACAGGAAGAAGCAGGATAGAGCAAGATGGCGAGCTCCTTAACGTGGTCGTGCTGCCTGCGTTTTAAATTCAGCCCAGAGGAGATCGAGCAACGTTACAAGAGCCAGGAGATCGACCGGATGCTGGAGAAGGATCGGCAGACGTTTCGCCGGCAAGTTAAGCTGCTGCTGCTCGGCGCGGGCGAGAGTGGCAAGTCGACATTCCTCAAACAGATGCGGATCATACATGGGATTAAGTTCGAGGTAAGATCCGAAGCATTCAGTTCATGCGTGTTCACACGGTCTGATCGATCTTTGCTGATCGGTTCTCGATCGTTCTAGAAACTGTTCCAACATCAGGAACACACATCTTGTGCAGAACATTCGGTTACTTGGTCTGCATTCAGTTAGCATTGGAATACTTAAATACTTGCGATTTTATTGCAATGTTTTGCTAATAATTGGTATTATAATCAATAGGAGAAAGTGTACGATAAAGTGTTCATAGGAATAAATATAGTAAATATAAAAAATGCATGTGTGATAAACACATATTTTGTTCTATAGCAAAATGTGTGAAAATTACAATAAATTTTACAAAGTTGTAAAAATAAGTATTGCAATTTAGTCGAAGACAGATTCTGTGTCGTATCACAAATTCAGTTATTTTATTACATTCTTTTATCGTATAAATAAATTGACGAATGCCAATACAGTCTAAATGTTATGTTGCTTTACAAATATAATCATAAATTCTTTACAGAACAATTTACTTATAAACAAATAATAGAGTTTTAAAATTGCAAATTATCTCAATAAAGATTAATGTTTACATTGTATACATATATATGTACATTTATTCTGTATATATATATGTGTAATTTGTGAATGAGTTCTTGTCTCATATATATCTATTTTAATGTCTTTTTGTCACAAGAGGTGTGTCTTTAATAAGAAATTTTTATAGGATTTGATATTTTTTTTTCAGCCTGAACTAGTTAAAGAATATCAACATGTAATCTACCAGAACATAATTAAAGGAATGAAGGTTTTGGTAGATGCTCGAGATAAGCTGAATATTCCCTGGGAGAATCCTAAGAATTATGATATCGGCTTTCAATTACTCAAGTTTGAAAATACTATGGTACTGGATACTAGATTATTTCTGCATTATGTACCAGGACTACAAAGTTTATGGAAGGATGCATCGATAAGAAGAGCATTTGACAGGCGAAGAGAATTTCAATTAGTAAGACTTTTTCGTATTAACAAATTTTACATAAAATATGTTATACATATCTGTATAATATTATTTATTTTTCTAATTGTTTTTTTAATTTTACATGTTGTATTTATACGTGCTATTTGATATTTTCAGAGTGATTCTGTCCAGTACTTCTTGGATAATCTTGATAGGATTGCGAGAGTGGTAATAATTTTTTTTTTTTTAACAAGTATAATATTCTATGTAATTAAGAAAATGTATAATTTACACAATGTTGTATATTTTCAATTTACTAAAGTAGAAAAGTATATTAATGCTTGTATATCATATTATTTTTAATTTAGATAATTGTTATTTACAGAATGTATAAGAAAAATATTTTTCAGGATTATACACCTACACATCAGGATATTTTACATTGTAGAAAGGCAACAAAAGGAATTTCTGAATTTGTAATACCAATTAACAATATCCCTTTTCTTTTTGTCGATGTTGGCGGTCAAAGATCTCAAAGGCAAAAATGGTACCAATGCTTTGATTGCGTGACTTCTATACTTTTTCTTGTATCATCGTCGGAATTTGACCAGGTCTTGTTGGAAGATAGGTATGTTTTATCTATGTTTATATAATTTATATATATAACATTTTTTTTTTTTTTTAAATAAGGTACAATAATGTTTGTATTTCAACTTAATCTTATAGGAGGACTAACAGATTGGAAGAATCTAGAAACATATTTGATACAATTGTGAACAATATGATATTCTGTGGTGTCTCTATTATTTTGTTTCTAAACAAAACGGATTTGCTTGATAAAAAAGTGAGGTCACAAGATACAAATGTCCGTTTGTACTTTCCACAATTCACGGGTGATCCACATTCCATGAAGGACGTGCAAAATTTTATCCTCGATATGTTTGTGTCGGTCAAGAGGGATCCAAGGAAGCCATTATTTCATCACTTTACTACTGCAGTAGACACGGAGAATATTAAAGTTGTCTTCAATGCCGTAAAGGATACTATTCTACATCGGAACTTAGAGTCATTGATGCTTCAATAATGACATAGAAACGAAGGAATTAAATACATAAAGCAGCTAGTAAAACAAAGGTACGCGGCAAAAATTTAATATTTAATATGTATCATTAATCCAATCTGTAGTTTTCGAGAAATATATTGCAATACACAGACTAGGTCAAAAAATGTTTTGATAAGACAATATATTATATATGAGTATGAATTGAATGTTTACCTACATATATATAAATATGTTTATAGTAAAAAAGAGAAAAACTGCCTGATGTAAAGATATATTAAAAATTTTGACTCTATATACACCATATATGTATACATATATTAAGATATATTTTCATTGTGCTTTTGATGAATATTGAATGGTTGTAAGGAGATTATTATACAAACTCTATTGTACATAACAATTTATATTCTATACGTTGTCAATAATTTCTATGATAATGAATTGACATACACACACACGCACACATATTTGTGTATAAAGAGGAGGATCAGTTGCAAATAATTCAGTTTAGGTTCTTATACTTGTATAGATATATCTGATTCAAATATACATACGCACAATGCTTTTCCCATGTGTGTATGATATAATATTTAAGATTATTACTGGTTATTAAACCAGAGTTTTTACTTAAAAACATGGATATAACTTATTTCTTATTTAAGATTAATTAACTATATTAACACACAGGATAAATTAAGTAACAAGAAAACCAAATACTAGGTCCAAGCCATATAAACCAAATAAAGATAACCAGTTTGTGTTCAAATTGCTGTGGAAAAAAGTTATTCATTTATTTCTTCTTTTTTGAAGAAACAATGCGATATTATTCAATATAATGCTATAGTCAAATCTTTGTATCTTGCATTCTATAAATTAAACTTTCTAGACTGCTGTTAAGTTATTGTCAAAAACTATAATATGATGATTGAAACTAAAATATGATGATTATATTAATCACAATTATTTTCTTTTTTGTATAATATAATGTTAATTGAAATTTTTTATCAATCCTGTATATATTTTAATATATATAAAGCTCACTTTCAAAAGAGTCTCGAATTTCCGACAAAATTTGGAATAGAATTCTATGTATGTATGCATGTATGTATGTATATGTATATATATATGTGTGTGTGTGTGTTTTAATATAAATAGAATTTTGTTACAAATTATAGATATCTAATGAGTTTAAAATACAGCAGTTGTTTTCCTTGAGTCAAATTGTGAGGTACAAAATTAATTATATATTTTAGAAACAGCAGTAAAATTTTAGTATAATTATATCATGTAATACAATTTTTCTATTCATCATAAATATTCTATTTGCCTGTCCTATAATTTTGATAACTGATCCTTTATTGGTTATTATACATTTGAGAGAAAATTCAAATAAAATAATCGATATTATCTTTTTCCACATTGCGCAAAAAATGTTTAATTTCTTATATTATTTATAGAAGGCCAGATTGAAACAGCAATTTGTATGAATTGTCTAATTTTGTTAGCATATTATAAATATAATATTGCATTTACATCTATACATGCATGCTTGTTTATAAATTTGGTTATCTTATGATTTGTGCAAATAGATGTCAGTGGAAAAATCTGACACAATCTGGACTGAACCATTGTGTTATACCAAAAATTCTGAAAAATGTAAGAAGTATATATTTTGTGTAATTTAAAATTACTGTCCAATTCTGTTTTTGGCAAAAAAAAGTTGTAATATCTTTTATATTACGTATATGCACATGAAATATATCCAAAGGTTTTATGTAATGGTATCAGTTAAGCCAAAGAAAATTCTATGTAGAATTCCAGGAAATTTCTACTTATATAATTTAGATTTTCATTACTTTATTTAATGATTCACAATATATCGATGTACATATTATGTTAGATATATATTTTCAAAAACATCATTACAGTTAAGCTGCACAAGCTATTCTTCAATTCTATAATTAAATCATTCATTACATAAAATCTTTGTTATTTTTAATTTG